TACAATGTGGGAGGAGACCACACAATGTGTGAATGCCAGGAGGGGGCATCATTGGAACCATTTGGAGGCTGCCAACCACAGCGCACCACTAAAAAATCAACAAAGACAGGGGACTCAATAAAGGACACACAGAAGAAAGAAAGAATGTAAGCCCCGATGAATGTGGAATGATTAACAAAGAATAATATCATAGGGATATTTCCAGAAAGAAAGATAAGTTAACAGTTTCAAATGCTAAAAAGTCCAAGAAATAGAGCCAAACAAGCTAAATGAGAACAGAAATTAGGCCACTGGATCTGGTGGTCAGCTGCCAGGCCAATATGGTCACAGTGACGTGGAAGCAGGTAGAAATCACATTTTAGTAAATGAACAAATGAACAGAAATGAAGAAATAATGAGAGAGAGTGATAAATTTAGGCCTCTTTCAAAAGTCTAGGTAGTAAAGGGAGGGGAGACTGTGACTTGCAGAGGAAAGCAGTATCTTGCAGAAAAAGCTTTGCTCTTGGTTATAGATGAGTAGAGGGAAGAAGTAGAAGGAAAAGTTGGAAGACATTGGTCCCAGAGGACATACAAGAACAGAGATTGAAAGCACAAGTGCGAGGATTAACCCCTCTTCCTCCATCAGAAGGAAAGAACAGGTGAGAGGGAAGGTGCAGTTAGGAGGAACACAAGGGGTTTGGAGGGCACAAGCCTGAGTCTTCATTTTCTTCTGAAGACGCTGAGATGAGGGGTAAAGTGACATGGGGATCCGTAGAGGTCAAAGGCCAAAGGCTTAGATCAGCTCTAGGTATTTGTTTCCAGGACCCAGAACTTGCTTTGAGTTATGCCCATGAGCTTCCTACTATTTTGTTCAAGTTTTCTCACCCCCAACCGATGAAGATTAGCATGTACCCACATTTCACCTTTTCCTGCCTTCTCAAGCCATCCTGGGCATCTGGAATTTTTGTGCTGCTATTAATGGTACACACGTATATAAGGCAGGCAGTGTCTGTGAAGCATCCATTTATAGCAACACACAGAAGCTCTAAGCAAGGCCAGGGAGAGCTGCAGCTCAATCTTTGTGGGCATGCATTCCATGAACCACCATCAGAAGACAGTGGAGAGCTTCTCTGAGTCCACCACTGCCTCCTTGGGTCTAGGAGCTATGAAGAAACCAACACCCAGTTTCTACTTGAAGTTCTTCTGAATTATCTGCCCCAGAGCTACTGGGATGGTCTCTTGTCACTGAGCAGATTTATGATGGAGGCACCTGGAAAACTAAAGGGTGCAACAGAGTGGGCAGAGCAGAGGCTGCTGGACTCATGGTCCCCTCATTTCTATTTAGTGTGAGCTTGAACAAATGCATTTAACCAAGTATGATTCTGCTTCATCTGTAAATGTGAATACAGAGAAGAATAGGAATGTATATCTAGCACTTCGCATGGTACTTGGAATCCAGTTATTGTTGAGCAAACACTAGTTATGATAATTGTTACTGACATCACTAGTTTTTATAGACCTGGGGACAGAATGTTTTATTACCAAGTGGCTTGAATTATAGTAAATTTATTGAGTCAGCCTGCCTTCCTATGGCGGCTATAGCACAGAGACTCTGTCTGGATGGTGTACCACGAAATGAAACAATATAGTAAATAAAGCTCTGAGTAAGCCCTATTATCCCAAAGAACAGTATTCCCTTTGCCCTTGCTCTCCATGAGGTTGGGGCCGGGCTGTGCCCCCAATTTGGGGTATTATGGCTCAGTGAGTGGAATCCCATAGTAACAAAAGCTACGTAGGATTGGCCGCAGTGCACTCAGTTTTCTGTATTCAGTTATATTATCAGCTCCCATTTCCTGGCATCTGCTCTAAACAGGTACTTTTGATACAGTACTTCTAACTCAGTAAGATGCCTTGTAAAACCATTTTACAGATGAGGAGGTAAAGACTAAGAGAAGGTAAGAAATGTCCCAGGCCACAGGACTGTTAACTACGAATTGAGCCTGTCCCTCTCTCCCCTCCCCACACTGCTTCTCTGCCCTGGCCTGGCATCAGGGGACCATGGTAGAAAACCCAAGCTCTCTTCCTTTGTCTTCTAGGTGGTATCCCTGGCACTTCTAAGAGAACTTATCCAAATTCTTTCAGGAATCATAACCATCTAGAATCACAGACTCCCAGGTCTGAGTCATTCATTCAGAATTGCCCACAGTACTAGCCTCCTCCCCCCACCCCCCCCCCACCCCCGCCCCTAATATA